CTATGGAGAGAACATAGATGCAACCTAAGATTCGCCTCTCTAGTATCTCTGTTAGTCCCAATCTCAAATAATCCACCATTACCCTGGCCTTCCGAGTATACCCTATTGTCAGAGTTGATCCCAGTCCCCTAATAATCTCTAGTACATAAGTCTTAAAGGTCACTTTCTAAAATCCTCTCTTCCTAACCATTTAGCAACTAGAGATGACGACAATTAAAAAAAAATTGTGTTGTCCAGAAACCAGTTAGTTGCCACATCTTGGTATCTTTTGGGCTGCTTCGAAAAAGCCTCCTCCCAGAGACTGCCTGTATTCACTAAAATAGTGACCAGGGAACTGAATATCCAGTTTACCCTGGAGGAAGGGGGGAATTTATTTACTTTCCTTGGATTCTCCTCTATAGATTCTCATATGCAACCATTCACTATAAAATGGTCAACTGATTGCATTTGACGCCACACGATTTACATACATTTTTTAGGGATAATTCACCTTCTTGTTGGAGGTGCCACAGTAATCTTCATATGTTTGGCTGCTGTGTTCTAAAATTCAACAATTCTGGGTGAAGATTATTGCTCTAGTGAGAACTATAGTGATAAATAATCCCCCTTTACACCTGCATCCTTGTTTTATGTCACATTTCAATCCCTGGAGACATTTCTTGCTACAACATCACCTAAACGAAGCTAAGATGCTTATTCCAGTACACTGGCAATCTGATAAGATCCCATCTGTAATTGATTGGATTGACAAAGTAGAGAGTCTAAGACTCTGAGGAGATAAACTACTCACTGGGTCGATGGTATCCACTTTACCTTAAGTTCATCGATCCTTGGTACAATTTCTAAGATGAACACCCAAGGTGGTTTCTTGCAAGAGGAGGAATCAGACACTTGAGATGTGGTCACATTGTGCATGGTAGTAATAACATACAAAACTTGTCTTTCTGGATGGAAACCAAAACTGTTACATACTATACTAATGGAAAATTATTCTTGACACTGCATATTTAACGACAACACTTGATCAATGCTGCATGTTATTCTTCTGTTAACAATACTTAACTATTAACAAACATTATATTATAACCATAATACTTTTTCCAGATGTTTTCTGAAAAGCTATAATAACCCATATCCCTTAAAAATACAAATGAAGTGGGATGGGGTGAGTGACCATGTCCAAGTGAATGGACTGGAACCCAACAGGTGGTATATAATTAGAGAGAGTGTAAAGAAAAGTAAAGTCTAAGGTAACAAATGACTGGGATAAAACATATAGACAGTCCAAAGAACTCAGTAATCCAGGTAGCAAAATCAAAACTCGTAGAACAGTTTGAAATTAAAAATTCAGGAAAAAATCAAATAGGGAATGAAAAGCATGAAAGGTAACATAATAGAACAAACAAGTGGTTTACTTCTATTGCATTGGATTTTTAAAGAGGTCACCATCAGGGTCAATCCCCTTTGCCTGCCTTCCCACTTCACTCTTCTTGTCAAAACAGGTCACTACAGGAGACGATTACTATTTCCAATTCAGATATTTTAACTATTCTTTTTGGACCTAAGCTTGCAATTTTCTTGTTAATTTTTCTCAAATCTCAATTCAGAAAATTACCTTTTTATGTTCACTTACCTACTCTATTCCTATTATTTGAATAGTCTGTAAGACACTGTTTATATTTGCAGATATTATGCATTTTTGTTTTTCACTTTTGTTATGTTAATTGAATTAGTTTTAGGCAAAGGTGTGTGTGGAGTTACATTTCCTCCTCTCCCTTTTGAAAGTTCGTAAACAGTCATAATAAAGTCTGTAATTTTCTAGCATTACATTAATTAAAATAAATACCATCCTTGAGGTTTGCATAATCTCATCAGAACTGGGAAATATAAATACATAACTCAGTTCTTCCAAAGTAGTTTGTGCTTGTAATACACAAATACAGAGAGTGTTTACTTTCTTTTATCTTCTACTTTGAATTGTGTGAATCACCTGCAGTTAAATTTAGATAGAAAATGAACATTTGTCTGAAACACTTATTTGTGAAATCGTTTGACAATTTTAACAATAACTTACAAGCTGTGAGACATGTTTGTAAACAAACTCTATACAGCACAAGCAATCATTATTTCAACGATTATTAAAGTAATTTTTTTGTTATTTTTATTTTTGAAAATGACAACTTATATATTATAAGCAACATAATGAAATTTAAACAAACAAGAAATATTCCCCCAAAAGGAAATAAATATAGGTGGATTGGCGCTGTACACAGAGTAGCAACTACCCCCAGTGTCTCAAAATCACTCAAAGACACTCCCAAATCGTGATAAAACAGAATAACAAAGTGGGGGGTGCAATAAATAGAATAAATAGTACAAAATATAAATACTTATTCGTAGTAGTAGTAGGAACTTAATCTGTAAAACACAAAAGTCCATACATAGTGTAAAACTGTAAATAGTAAAAGTGATAGAGGCAAAGGTATTGGGTCACTCACAATAAATAGAGCCTAAAATAGCAGGCTCTAGCATGATTGCATGTGGAAAATCAGCTTTTCCCAGCTATTCAAGATGTCCCCACAGTCTTCCTATAGACACTGGTGCTGGATTCCAGATGTAGGAAAGATGGACCAAACGAATTCTTCAGCTTTAAAAAGTATTTACTTCAATAAAATAACCAGATAAATAAAAATATAAAAATAACATTAAAACACTAATAGGAAGACTGTGGGGACATCTTGAATAGCTGGGAAAAGCTGATTTTCCACATGCAATCAAGCTAGAGCCTGCTATTTTAGGCTCTATTTATTGTGAGTGACCCAATACCTTTGCCTCTATCACCAACATAATGAAATTTGTTTAAGTGCAATTTTTGGCTCTTATACCCACAAACATATATGGTAAATATAGACAAATGATTGCATATTTTAATTGAAATATTGGAGTTGAAATTTGCTCATGTTTATTTATTAAACACCAAATTGTACTGAATTAAAAACTAAATTGCAAAAGGTAGCATAATGCCTAGCTTTATTAGTCTAAAGCGTGGCAATTTAATTTTCAGATCACTGAAATTAAATTTCTATAAAGGGCAGATGTAAAAAATTATTACCAATTTAAATCAATTTTAGAAATCATGGATTAGAGAGTTAAATTGCCTGTGAGGTTCAGGAACTTTGACACTCCATGTGTAACTTACCTAGCCATAGTAAGTACAAGGCATCTTGCTTTAGCATGTTGAGTGTACTGTGTGTGACGCCAGACACATAACTGATTTTGACAGGATGGAAGAGAGTACTCAAGTTGCCTGATTGACAGCTTAGGAAAGTCTTTCCCACACACACAGATAAAAATACATTAATGTCTGGAAAAAATAAAAGCTGCAGGTAAACAATCTTTGTATTTTCATTTAGTTTAGGTGCTTATGGTGCTTAGAGTGGCCCTTTAATCATAATGCAACAACATATACATGTGACAGACCCACACACAAAGTCACCCGCTTTGTGATGATAAGACATTGAGCATTACAGCTTTCCCCATGTTAAAGTTGAACGAATGTTCATCAGATAACACAAAACTAATTTAGGTGCAGTAATAAGCCATTTCTAAAGTAAAAAAAGATAGTGCTGCACGAAGAATTTGTGTTAAAATTAATAGGGTGAAAAGTAAATTATTTGCTTAAAATGTTTGAATTACAAAGTAGTTCTTGTTGTTCCATATTTAAACTGATAGAAGATCCTCAAATGAACAAAGTAATAGAGTTTTCACTGATGTGATGAGTGCCAATAACAGTGCTATTTGGCAGTTAACACAATATGCTGCTGTACTGTGAACCATTCATTTGCCTAATTGAAATCTTTAAAGCTGTGCTTGCTGTGCTTATACAGATATTGATTTTCCACTTAAGAGTTTAGGAGAATTAGGAAAGGAAAATAGTTGATAAGTAAAGTTGATAAGCAAGTGTCCACCTACAAAAAAGTCCTAAAGCAGTTACACTCATTTAACTGTGGATCAATTTCCAGAGCCAAATAAGTTAGGCTCTGGACTATAGAAGCATTTCATCAACCAGAGTGAGATACGTTG